GTCTGCTCTGTGCGTTGACAATGCACTGCGTGCATAGTACGAGTGTGGCTCGTCGACTCTCTGGCTGTGTAGCTCGCCCGGCCTCCGGCTGACTGAGAGCTGAGTGAAGCTGAAAATGGCTGAGCGAGTGATATTGGGACTCTTTGTGCTGTATGAAATAAGTTTAATGTCCAGTTCAAATAATGAACCTGAACATGAATCTACAGATTGTTTTATGAGAATGTGATCTAGATCTATGTTTTTTCCACTTTATCGGGGAAATAGTTTATGAATGATTAAATCAATGACTTTGCAAGTTTGTGACATGACACTGACAGCCCCTCTGTCGAATCCTTTCAATCATCTCCAATTGATGATAGGCTGCAGGCTATTCTGTTTTTAATTGCAACTTGTAAATTATTGGCACATGTACTCTTAAAACACACACTATGTCACACAGTAATGCAAGAATTTTCAAGGTTGAAGGATGCTGACTTGACAGTCAAAGAAGAAGAATGTAATGCTACAAAATCTAATGTTGAAGTAGACACACAAAGAATCAAAAGTGTTTTGAATTGATGCAAAACTCATATTATTGCAAAGGGGAAGCCTTGCTGATCAAATACAACAACTCTTTTCTTCAAAATATGTTTGGGGCCCGCAGTAATCAACTCTCAAAAATGTTAGTTTTGAGATCCAGATTTCTGCCTTAATCAGCGGTCCTTTATAGAGCGTCAATATTTGTGACGTCACATACATGTACGGGACACGGCTGGCTAGCTGCAGACTGCTACACGGCACTGAGCTGTTTGTCCAGTGTGTGACGTCGCTATTCAGAGCTCGCTACGCTTGTGTGTTTGGCTTACGTTCGGGGGCGCTTGGGGGTCTAAGAAGGGTCTTGAAAAATTGCATTTTAAGCCTTTCCATGATATCTATATGATTTCTCAGCAAATTATTTGTGTTTTTCAAGAGAAAATCTTTCCATCCATATGTAATTTGTTCTAATTATCAGTTGTTAGTGAATTTTCTTTGTGTAGCTCCTTTAAGAATTTGCATTCAAAGTTTCAAACATCTCATTTGTTCATAGCAATTTCTAAAACAAAACTGTCCTGCATTATGTCTTGTTCAAACTTCAAGTTCTTGCCTTGCTTTTACCTCAGAGCCATTAAAAGATTTTTTTATTTTTGGTACCTTAATGAGTCACAAATACATGAGATGTGATACAGTACATCAATGACAATGGTCAGGCCAGGCCATTACACCTGTACATGTGACTGCACAACAAGAAATACATTGCATCTTGCAGCTTTGCCCCCCCCCCTCCCCCCCCCCCCCACCCCCCCCCCAAGAAAAAAGAAAGTTAATTTGCTTCTTATCTTAGACATAAATTGTAGTGGAAATCAAATCAGATGAAAAAAATCATACACCTTGGTTTCTCCGCTGGGCTACAGTCCTTTTTCCTATTTGTTTTTTATCTAGACTTCCTGGATGTCTTTCTGTGGTCTCTGCTATATTTTCCCATGCTTTTTGGACCCTCTTTGCATCGGGTCAATCTCATTCAATAATTTTTTTAAAGCAATATCCCTCTAGAACTTGTAAATCTTTAAGGGTCTATTTTCAATGTTGTTACTGTATGTATAAATTCCTTGAGATTGAAAATTGTAAAAATATGATTTATTCTTCCCTAAACCTTCTTTCTCTTTCTATCTATCTACATGGATCTCTCTCACTCTCTCTCCAACTCTCTCTCTATTTCTGTCTCTCTCGTCCTCCATCTCTTTCTCTCTCCATCTCCATCTCTTTCTCTCTCCATCTCTCTCTTGCTCAATCTTTCTCTATCTCTCTCTTTCTCTTTTTTTCTTTCTCTTTCTTTCTCTCTCTCTCTCTCTCTCCATTTCTTTCTCTCTCCATCTATCTCTCTCTTGCTAATATCTTTCTCTCTTTCTCTTGCTCTTTCTCATTATCTCTCTCCCCCTCTCTCATTATCTCTCTCCCTCTCTCTCCCTCTCTTTCCATCTCTTTCACTCTCTACAGCAGGATAAAACTCAACCTCAGTTTGAGGATCGCTGGGAGGGCATGAGGCCCACGGTACTCAAACTCTTGAGACAGGAGAATGTGAGCAGAAATGAATGGCATGACCTTTTCTGGTGAGTTGTTTATTCATCTACAAGTATTAAATACTGACCTTGTACATGTACATATACATGCAAGGGACTTGTCATAGGATTATTTCTCCAATCATAAACATTTTATTTGCTTTATTTTGATTATTGTTTACGTATCAAATAGTGTATTGGGTGCTTAAAATTGTTTGGTATGTTCAACTGTTTTTTGAACTGTTGATAAAGGTGTTTATCCAGGATTCATGCAGAGTGTTTCAAAAGATGACCTAGGGTATGTATACCTGTTAACACCTCCAAAATAGATAGAAGTAGAAAAAAAAATATTGTTTTTATACCGGTAACTTTGAAATGGAAAAAAAAAGAAGAAGAAGATATGCAGTAGTAAATCATTCAATGAAGGAGGAATACAATGTAGCTAGAAGAAAAGGGTTTTTAGAGAAATAAACATGTTTTTCTTGTCACCTAATTTTGAATTTTTGTTTTCTTTTTAACTTGTAGATCTGTTCCCTCCAACTTTAAATTGCTTTATGGTACAATGAAAATACAACTACCTTCATTTGACACATGATAGTTGTTTATCTGTACAATGTACTATTGTACACGTACAGTACTTCCCCAGTTCAAACTTGCATTTTATAATGCGTTTGTACCACAGTCCTACATGTAGATATTGTACGGCTACTTTTGTGTACATGTTCATGTATGCTATCTTTCCGAATTGAAAGTGAAACAACCATGTCAATATGATTTGGGATGGAATAATTAATCACTTCGATATGAAAGACAAGTGCAGGTAGTGTGTACAGAGGTGATCATACAAACCAATAACTTCAGACAATACAGAGGATGGGAGAGTTTGAAATACTGTACATGAACATGTTTTTGTACACTCGTGATGAAAGAACAAAGAGATATTTACATGTACTTGTCCATTTCTTGATCTGCCCAAGTTCTAAAAGAGAACAAGAGTGGAATTATTTTTTTTTCTAATTAGGCGAGCAAAATTATCTTTTGCTACAGTATACATGTAGCTCTTCAGTCTTTTATGTCTTGATACACTGTACATGTACATGTATACAAATGTACATACAGTATGAAATTGCAAGTAATATGCTAACTTATAGTAATTATGCAATCAGAATACAATCACCTACAGTTCTTCAAAGTGAAAGAGATAGATGCCTTACTCAGCAAAAGAGGTACACTAATGATCACAGTAATTCTTTTAACTCAACATTTTATTTGAGGTTCAGTCCTCAAATTGCCATCCACACCTGAGGGAGATTCTTTGTGTAATAGTTACTGGTATGTTACTAATGTAGTAGGACATTATTGTGTACTCTTCTCTTTCCTTTGATGTGTAGGGAGGTGTACTCTGTATGTGTATGGGATGATAAGGGAGTGGACAAGGTCAATGAAGCACTCAAACATGACATCGTCGAGTTCGTCCAGCAAGCCAAACAGGTAATCAATGGATTCATTAATAATATGATTGCAGGGCCCTCAGGGAGAACAGTATGAATACTGATGAGGCTACCCTGGGTAAACAAGACATATTATTATTATTATTAGTTAGCAGGATGATGTTGAATTTACAAGAAAATTGTGTATTTTATCATTTAGCAATTGCGTACCTGCCGGCCATTCCTATTTTGAAGGAATGATTTCCATCTTTTGGCCTTTAAGCTATTGTCTTGAACCCTAGATTTCTCTCTTTTCCTGAAATATTCTGGGTTATCCGTTGACTACTGAATTGTATAGGTTCCATAGGCTTAACACAGGGACCACCAGGTTCCTGTAAGCAAAGGGTTAAACCTTGAAAAGTATATCAAATAGTCTGTATTCCTAATTTTGCCTAGAGAGATTCCTAATTTTGCCTAGAGAGATTCCTAATTTCTGCTGTGAAAGGTTGGCAGGTATGTGATTGTATTGGGAGATGAAGGAAACCCTTGTTGCCACTTGCCAATTTACTTACAGATCTGCATTTTACAAGTTAATCTCTCATAATAATGTGGAAAGAATTCAATGTATTGGGGTAATAGTCAACACTATCTTGCATTTTCAGGGAAATATATAGCTTGAAGTTGTTGTTGAACTACATGTAGGGATACCAGTACTTTTAAATATTATGGAATTGTTTGAATATGTATGTTATTTTCATAACTTTCCTTACAATGATTGTTTGTGTGTTTTCATATTTTGTATCAATGTATGTGAATCCATTATATCAATTAATTCCATACATTTAAGTTTTCATCCATGTTCTCATTGATTAGCAAAATTTGGTATGCACTGTATCTGCAATGTGTTCCCCTTGTTAAAAGAAGAATGGTGAACTTTTTTTTTTTTAATGAAAAAAGATCACATATAAAGAAATAACAAATGGAAACATTCAGATACAACCAGAAAAGGCTAACATTCATAACCGTAGGATAGAAATATCATGTGCATTTAAATAGCATACCATTCATGGATCAATCACTGTTTATCTATCAATGATGACTGTTTAGTCTACATCACTATCACGATACATCCTTTGATCCTATTGTTATGTCAACACAGCGTGTCCTTCATGACCAGGATGAGTCGGCACTCCTGAAGGCCTACATCAGGGAGTGGGGCAAGTACTTCACCCAGTGCGACTACCTTCCTAAGCCATTCAAGCCCCTAGAGACGGCCACGGGGAAGGGGTCCGGTGCCCAGCAGAAGAAAGCCAATCAGCAGAACGAGGATTCTACAGTCAGAAAGGTGTGTTTATAAATAAAAATGATAACAATTATAATATTATACAGTAGGCTTGCGGGTGCACTCCTGATGACAGATAGTCAACCTGTTCGAAACGTCGAGCCACTCCCGCCACTCCTCCTCTCGAAGTGCTATAGCTCTCCTTAAAACTATAAGCTAAGAAAGATGACCAACAGTCTTTTTCAAGACTACACAAACAGTCCTTTTCAGGACTACACACCCTCAAGAAAGATTACCGAGAGTGCTCCACAGTGACTTTCTATGTAACTACAGCAATTTTTTGATCAAGCAGAAATGAAGAAAAAAAACACTTTTCAGTTTTGGGTTTAACAGATATTGCCATTTTCATTTGACTCCTGAGCCCTATCTGAGATAATTTGTTTTCAATTTAGATTTACAGCTCTACTCTTCATCCATTGCCATTAGCAACATACCTGGTGTATGTCCATCCATTCTTTGTCTTAATTTCATAGTTGATGCTGGAAAGCTTGAGTCACTATATCTCCTTCAAGATCAAAGTGAAGCTCCATAAAAAACACATGAATAGGGCTTTTGAAAAAGCTAGTTATTGTCTTCAAGGTGTTTATTCTAATATGAAATGATGTTACAGAGATCTTTTTCTGCGTCAATGCCTCCCAATAATGATCTATTTCTCTCTTTCTTTCTCTTTTTTGTCCTTGCTTCCTTGTTTAGTTGATGCTAGAGAGTTGGAGTCACTACATCTTCTCTAAGATCAAACAGAAGCTCCAGGAGAGTGCCATGGGGCTGGTACTAGCTGAGAGGAATGGAGAAGCCTTTGAGAAACAGCTTGTTATTGGTGTCCGAGAATCATATGGTAAGGCTGGCCTCTCGTAAGACAAACTACTAATTTTAGGCCAAGGAGCTGTTATACTTCAATCAAACCAGTTCCATACCAATTTTGGCCATCAAGGATATTGTAATTTTTGGATCGATCTGATAGCAGTCTGATGTTTTGTTGATGTGTCTTGGGGTTTTATGTCTTTCATGTGCAGGACATTGTCCTTCCCTCAACGCTTTGCTAATTTGATGCTATTGGAAATAATTTTGTGTTTTGGTAGTGACAATCGTCCTTAGTAGAGAAGATGCATTAACCCTATGGGTTATTTGAGTGATCACAATCCCCACCCACCCTCCCCTCCCTCTCTCCCATGCCTAGTGGAATAGAGCATCCTATAATGATTAAGCGCATGAAGTGTCATACAAACATCATTAATGCTTAGGGACTCACATAAATGCTAAATAATTATTCATACACTCAACTAGGAGTATTTCGCATGCCAAACCACTCAAAGATTTTTTAAAAATCTATTTTCTTTCATTCTTTCTTTCCCCTATTCCCTTGCAGTTAATTTATGTTTGAACAGTGAAGATAGACTGCAGATATACAAGGAGAACTTTGAGAAAGCTTACCTGGATGCGACAGAAGCCTTCTACAAAGCTCAAGCTCCAAACTACCTAGCAGAAAATGGTGTGCAGAACTACATGAGATATGTGAGTATAGAACCCGTTAGACTCATTGATGTTGTATTATATTTGATCTAGTAAGTGCTGTTGTCATGTTATTTGAGAATCAGTTAATGAATAATGCTAGTGGTGTGTTAGAGCAGTGGCTGGAACCAGAATTTGTGACTAAGTATGATGAGAAAGCCCCAAACGATCTTACAACTCCCCCCAAAAAGAAAAAGATCATTAAAATTGCTGACAAGGTTATAACAATCTTAATCTGGCAACTGAAAGTTTGCATCTGTTGTATGATGTTTCTAGTTACAGTGCCCTGAAGTAGAACATTTATTCATAATTACTTACATGTACTTCTTCTAACTTGTAAAAAAGAGTGTCTGTGCTCGATTACAAAACCACACATTGGTTTTCTGCGCCCATGCATGAAACTAAAAAATACAATTTGATAGTTTTGGTAGTTTGTGTTTCAAAATGTTCACTTCCCTCTTTCTTGGTCTGGTCTTCATCTCCATGTGGAGGATTTAGAATCCTTATTAATTTGATTCTTTGCTTTGTTCTATGCAATTACAGGCGGACAGCAAACTAAAAGAGGAAGAAATGAGAGCAAGCAGATACCTTGACACGAGCAAAGGAAGTAACTCAATGAGTTTAGTAAGTATATCAAGTTCATTCGTTTGTGTCTCCTTAGATCAAGATTAATGTAAAGTTCCTAAATTAAATTAAATTAAATTAAATTAAGTTCTTCCATCGTCCATTGATGGCTGCCATCTGTGCAACCCGTTCTGCCACACTGCAAGATGTGGTCTATCGTCTGAGTCTCTCCACAGTCGCAGAGAGTATCTTCGAGAGTATATCAAGTGAAATGTCAACAATGAACCACGGTCTTGTCTAAGCAGAAGTAGTGCAAGTGGTTGTCTTTCATGATTCAGAGACTGTGCTGTATAGAATACCTCAACTTGTGAATGTCATTATGAGGAATAATGTGATACTTTGTAATAAGCGCAGTAGAGTTTATTCATAAAGTAGCCTCACTATATATATGGACACATTATCATTATTATTATCCTTTTTTAATTTTTTAAAAGTATTATTATTGTTATTATTATTATTATGATAAACTATGATTGAGACTTTAATGTAGATAATTTCATTTCATAATCGTTTCTGTTCTCTGTGAGCTAACTGAATGCTGCATAGAATCCCAAAACTTGTTAGAGGTACTTTGTCCCTTTTGCATCCAACCTCAAATGCTGTAGAACTTTGCAGGAATTATGAATATGTCATGTATGTTCTATCCGTGAAATTTAAACGTTAGCAGTGTCCTCATATTCAAATTATGCAAGGAAACCCGTTTACTTGCTAGACTTCACTGTCAGACACTATTGAGTGACTGACTGGCTTTTTTCTTCTTTGGTAATAACATACATGAAAAGAGTTGTAAAGGGTACATGAGCATTTGTCTACATCAATAACCCACTTCTTGTGATGTCCAAGATTGAACTGATTGAATCTTTGCGCAGCATAAAATGTATGACCATTCAGTACAATTGTCTGAAAATCAAGACTATTACTTTTGGGCTCTATAGCCCTAAAGTCGATTTGACAACTAATAGTCGTTATTTTCCAACTTGGAGACATTTTCAAGCCCCACCTTTTTTTAGGGAAGTTCTAAATTAGTATTATTTTTCAAATGCAGTTGGAATTTAACTTTTTCATTTTTTTGGCCTGCAAATGGGACATAGTACCTTTAATGTCATTACATGGAATGATAACCTATGATCATTTCTGTTCTCTTTCAGTTAACAGAGTGCTGTGTAGAATGTCTAGTTTCGGTCTTCAAGGAGGAGATTCTGAGAGAGTGTGCACCCATGATCAAGAACAATGAAACAGACAGTAAGTAAGAATTTTACGTTGGAACAGAGTTATCTAGATCAAAATTGGTTATAATGGTAATATTATTACATTTATTAAGCACCTAATCATTAGATACAAAGCGTATTAAAAAGAAATACTTACAAGCAAACAAAGATAGAAAGCATTATCATACTTAGATTATGTTAATTACAAAGAGAGAAGAATATTAAAACAAATGAGAAAAGATGTGTTTTCAGACACCTCTTGAAAGCTGTGAGAGTAGGGCAATTCTTTAGTACAGGGGTTAAGGAGTTCCAGGTTTCGGGGACAATAAATGAAAAGCCCCTATCACCTATCTGCTTACTGGTTTGAGGGACGGTAAGTGTATTACTAGTGGCTTATCGTGTATTGTACATGGATGTGCGCGCAGGAGTAGATCACCTACATGTAGGTATGCAGGGGCTTGATTATTGAGACATTTGTAAGTGATAGTTAAAGGTAAAGACCAGTTTTGGAAACGCCCCCCTCTCCAAAAATGAAATGGAAGCTCTTATTACCAATCATGTGAAAGAATATGTTTTGACTAATACATAATGATTAAAATTTTGCCGGAAAACCACCTTCTAATTGATATATTTGGTAAATTAGATTATCTATTTGGACGTGATAGATAAAACGCACGTGTCGCGCATGTGTGCGTAGTCCCATATACATCTTTCTGTGTACAGTGCTTGTAACTTTACGAAGACTGGGCCAAATTTCTTATCATTTTGATGATTCTAGAACCTTGCAGTATACACCAATACTTATATGCTAGATGATCAACCTTTTCTGATCGATTCTACAACGTTTCTTTCACAATGTAATCGCGTGACCATATTACCGGTCTTTATCCTTAAGGTCTTGTTGTTTCAGTTGTGTGGCTCCTGGTTTATATCTAGTGACACTGACAGATATGTGGGTTTATATTTGATGTAGAAGAAAGCCATGATAATGTCTACTACTATTGTTCAAGAGGGAGATATGTAGGAGCAACTTAAAAATGCGCCTCCACAATAATCAACCAGAGGTTCCTACGTTAACAAAGGCTTCATCAATGAAGCTAAATCTTAAGACTTATTAAATATCTTTGGTAACACTAACCCTCATCCTAGTCCTAAATCTATACCTATCCCTAACTTTGACATTACTTTGCATTGTAGAACTGAACCTGATGCTAAAGCTGATGGACAGAGTTCCAGAAGGCATTAATCCAATGCTAAGAGATCTTGAGCAGCACATCATCGAAGCAGGTCTTGCTGATATGGTGGCAGCGGCTGAGATCATCACCACAGTAAGTTACAGATATCTTTGTATGAAGCATTTATTTAATAGTTACGTTTAATCAAAAGGCAATCTAAAAGTAATCTTACTACAGTCAAACCTTTCTACAGCGAACGCCGAGGGAAACACAAGAAATGGTCTTTGTAGACAGGTTCCTTTAGTACATGTTAAGGTAAACAAAAAATGTGCTTGTTGTAGACAAGTGGTCTTTCTAGACAGGTGGTCACTAAAGCAGGTTTGACTGTACATGTAAACTAGAAATTGTTAGATATATTGTTTTAGACTAATATTTTATAATATCATTTGAATTCTTAACAGTCCATTTAAAAATGTAAGTTTTACCCTGAAAGGCCAGGTTATTTTTGTGCTCTCTCTCTCAGCAGAAGGTGGGGGGGGGGGGGGGGGGTGGATTCCAGTACCCTTTGGTTGGGATTTAATAAAGTTGGTATCAACAGATGCTTAAGACTCTAGGCAATAAACTAATGAAATTTTGCGTTGGAAAAAATCAGGGTGAGGAGGGTGTATTCTGCCCCCTGACCTTTTTAGGATTGAAATCTGGTTAAGGTGAAATTGATACGTTTGCTTTCTTGTTAGGCCTATAAAAAAAAATGTTGTATTGCCCTTTAGGTGCCAAAACATGGGTTGGTCGGTTCGGAAATCTTAATTTGTTTAATATTTTTTTTCTTCTTTATTTCTCCCTCTTTGGGCTGATATTTCTCAGTTTTGAATGCTACAATATATTTTTCTCTTAAAAAAGAGTGTTTTTTTTAAAGCCGACCGTAGATTTCAAGATTTTTAGGTCGGTCATAAGAGCAATACAACATCTTTTTCTTTTTTTTTGGGGGGGGGGGGCCTTATTTCCAAGCTCATGTAGAAGAATATGACATTAGAAATGGCAAGGGCTTGACTACATATTTAAACTACATTGCCTCTGCATTACTTTTACAGGATTCAGAGAAGTATGTAGAGAGGTTGTTAGAGTTATTCCATAGGTTCAGCAATCTCGTCAAAGAGGCCTTCAACGATGACCCAAGATTCTTGACATCAAGAGATAAGGTTAGTCTTAAACCTGAAAGAAAATGTTCCATGTGCAGAAGGTCATAATTCACTGACACAAGACTTGGTGGAAGAACCATTAATGCGTGTACAAGTCTGCACACAGCAAATTTGAGTCCAATCAAGAAATATCCCCTAATCTCTCACAGAGTCTTCGGGTGATAGAAATGTAAAATACTGACTTTACCGAATTGAATGAGTGTCAAAGGCAGTGCATTACATAAAGCCTGTTGGTCATAAAACTGAAGGCTAATCCTGGTAATTGACAACACCTGCTATTGGGTAAACATCAGAATTTCCTCATTTCATCATTCCCCATGAGAGACCACTACTCTGTGCCTTCATTCAAGTTCTGTAAAAGGTGATAACTAGTTTGTCAGATTTTTCTTTCTTTGTATGTCTGATGTCGGTGTGGAAGAATATGTCGTAGGAGATATGTCTCCTGAAAAGGTTGGCTCTTGAAATGCTCACATATTCGAAATTTGACAAGAAATAGCTGAATTGATTAGACAAAACCTGTATGCCTCATGTTTGTGTAGTCCCATATAATAATTTCTTAGTACAGTGCATGTGACTCTCAGCAGGATTGAGGCATTTGTCATTTTGATTATTCCAATACCTCACATTATTTACTGATTCATGTGTACCCGGTACTAAATTTTATTCTGAGGCTTTCCAAATGAATTCCAGACAGTTTCTTATACAATTGAATCAAATGAAAAGAACTCCACTTAATAACACAGAGATATTTTGCTCTAACTTCCTTGTTTAGTTCATCAAGGTCATCTGTTTGATCACAATATTTGTGTTTTCATTTGTAAATGTTTTGTTTGTGTGTTAACACAAGATCTCAACGAGTATAGTCGGCTTCTCAAATGCCATAGTCTTTTTTCTGACCTAAATTGTTGATATTAATAATTAATTTTATGAATTCTCTGGCTTTTGATATTGTTCATTATGTATTATCATAGTCACAGCAGAGGAAATGCTGATAGAAACTTGTGTTTGTCCAATATAATTAATGTGATGTGATTTTTTATTGCAGGCTTACAGGCATGTAGTCAATGATACCAAAGTCTTCCGGTTGGAGCTTCCAACAAAAAACAAGAGGTGAAGCTATAAACATGTTATGTTGACAAAACATTGGTCCAGACAAACAATTTTTACTTTCTTATTCCTCGTCTGGTTTCTGAACTATTACAAGCATTGTAGAGTTAGTTTCCATTGAGGATATTTGATGCCCAGTTCAGCAATAATACAAAAGATTTAAATAACAAATTTTACTGTGCAGCTTTTTGTAGATCAAATCCAGCAGCGTAATTCATTGTTTATATCTCCTTTATAAATTGTATAGTGCTCTTTAAATACAGTTGGATAAGTAATGTACTTAAAGTTGATCACAAATGTAATATTTTCTTTCTTTTGTAACTTTATGATCTTGATTGTCAGATGTCTTGGTGAGAATTTTATCGCAGGTGCAATTGAGTGGTTTGAATATGTTATAGAGTTGTTAGATAGAAATTCACCTCTACTAGCATATAATAATTTAAAATTCAGTTGAAAGAATAAAAAAATCTTCATTAAAACAATTCTGAATTAATGAATTTTAAATATTGTGCATGGCATGCTAATGTGGTACATTATTTTTTCTTTATGCATATCTTATATTTCTTCTTTCCTCTTTATCTGTCATATAAATAATCAAATCACTCTTTTTCAATTTCGACAACACCCTACCCTCACGTATTGTATCTTCCTCTCTGAATATATCCTTCATATTTAATCTTAATCATACTATTTGGGTCTCTTTCTCTCTCTCTCTCTCTCTCTGTGTCTATGTCTGTCTGTCTGTCTGTTTTTCACATATATTATCTTGTCATTTTCACTTCTTCTTCGCTCCCGCACCACTTTCTTTAACCTTTCCACTGTATCTCTATCCAACTCTTAAATATCCCTCTGTGTCTTTGTCTTTTATGTGTCTGTCTGTCCATCCATGTCTGCCATGTTTTCTCCTTGTCTTTCTCCTTTTTTACCCACCCCTCACAAACTCTCTCTCTCTCTCTCTCTCTCTCACTCTCTCTCTGTCTGTCTCTTTCTTGCCTCTCTCTTTCTTGCCCTCTCTCTTTTTTTCTTTTTCTCTCTATCTCTTTCTCTCCCACTTATTTCTTTCCTCCTTTCTCCCCATTTATTCCTTCTCTTTCTGTATTTTCTCTCTCCACCTCTCTCTCCCACTTATTTATTTGCCTCTCCCCTCTCCCCCCTCTCTCTCTCCCCTCATTCTCTCTCCGCTCCTCTCTCTCTGTCCCTCTATTTCTCTCCCTCCATCTCCCTTCAGTGCTGTTAGTAAAGGGCAACCCGAGTCGAGATGTCCGGAGCTACTAGCAAACTACTGTGACATGCTTCTGAGAAAAACACCCCTCAGCAAGAGACTCACATCGGAAGAGATAGAAAGCAAACTTAGGAATGTCGTAAGTATTCTCTCATTATCTTTCAACCCCTCTTGCTGCAGCTCTCTCAGCGTGTCAACACACACAAAAAAAATTATCTTGAAACTCTAAAGAAACGTTGTATAAAGAATCAGCGTATAGTGAACCGGGCATCCACACACAAGAAACGTTGTATAAAGAATCATCTTATAACGAGCAGGGTGTTCACACACACAAGAACAAGTCATCCTGAAACAAAGAAACTCTACAGCGAAACGTTGTATAGGTGCGCAGTTTGTTGCTGCGCTGTGCGCGGTCATGAAACGGAAGCGAAAATGAGAGGTCAGATCTACTTTCGTATTTTACTACTGTAAAACGTGTCTAGTAAACCCTTTTAAAATTGTATTTTGAATTGAATTAAAAGTGATTTTAGTTGACTATTACAAGTGTATTATTTTAACTTGATTGTAATTTGTTTCTTGTATTTCTTACCATTTTAGCTTCTAGTACTGAAGTATGTGCAGAACAAAGATGTGTTCATGAGGTACCATAAAGCTCATCTAACAAGACGATTAATACTGGACACATCAGCTGACAGTGAGAAGGAGGAAAACATGGTGGAATGGCTCAGGGTATGTTCATCACTCTCTCTCTCTTCTACTTCTTCTCTTTCTCCCTCTCTACTCTCTCATCCTCCGTCTCTCTACCTATCTTTCTCTCTCTTCCTATTTTCCCCCCTCTCAACTTTCAGATGTAAGGGAATATTCTCCAGGTCATAAATGTAGACCTCCTTAGAGAATAAACTTTCAAATATAAAGTAGTTGAAGAAATAATTTTATATTTTAAATGACTTAAATTGGCAATGTTGGTAGTTTTCTTTTGTCAGTACATTCTTCTGAAAGAATATGATGCACTTTAAAAGAAAACTGTATTTCTGAAATATTGAATGCAGATTTGACTGTGTTGCGAGTTGCGCATAATTCAGCATATATTCTTGTAGTCATGTACTATATCATGTACCGTAAAAAAATGAAGGGGGGGGTTCAAGTTCTGTGTGTGCTTTTACTAATACTGGACATCCCATTTTGGATGGATATTGTGCACAATATAAATGTAGCCATTAACATCAATCAATTGTTGTTGTTGTTGTGGTGAATGATGATAAAGTGAGATTTGTAGTATTATCAGAACTCAAGTACCAATATACAATGATTTTTTTTTCTTCACTGAATGTAGGAGGTAGGGATGCCAGCAGACTATGTCAATAAACTTGCCAGGATGTTCCAAGACATCAAAGTCTCAGAAGACCTAAACCAATCCTTCAAGGAACTTCACAGAAACAACTATGGCAATGTAGCAGGTCAGTTACCTATTAAGTTTCTAGTCTCTTAGATCAGGGCTCTATGCAAAGTTCAAGGTCGAACGATCCTCTTAAGTTTAGAATGACGCCCCAGACTTAATAATAATTCCAGTAAAAAATTGTTTTTACCTTATTGTCGATTGTCATTGTGATATGGCTGGGTTCTATCAGGAACATGCAGAACAACTATTCACCTTATCAGATTTACCTCTTTTCTAAATAGATAATAGAGCTAGTGCTTAGTAGAGAAGTAGTGAGATGCTGTATCTTCTGTTCTTAGTAATCTGTCATTATGTTGCAATTTTGAATGAGACTTGTATGTTGTTGTGATATTTACCTTTGTACTTTCCCAACAATAACATCGGTATCAAGATCCTCAATGCCAGTGCTTATTCTAGAAGTAGTGAAACCCAGACAAGTTTATTATCATTCATTCAAGAAATTTGATTTTGTAATATGTTATACAAGACAACATTTAAAAAAAAAGAACTTTCCCAACAGACAACATGAATAGTAAGATCTTCAACGCTGGTGCATGGTCTAAAAGTAGTGAGAGGGTTCAGTGTTTATTATGTATTTGTCATTCTTCTTATGGTTATATCATCAGCTTTATAAGATTATTAACTTTTCTGCCTGTAATCTTTCAAACAGATAACATGAATATAAAAATCCTCAATGCCGGTGCATGGTCTAGGAGTAGTGAGAGGGTGCCGTGCTCGTTACCAGTCGAGCTAGAAGATTTCATCCCCGAGGTAGAGGAATTCTATCGCAACAAGCACAACGGCAGGAAACTACAGTGGCATCATCTCATGTCCAATGGAATAGTAAGTTTGATTGTCTCCCTCTCTCCTTCCACCTCCCTCTTTCCCTACGTCTCCATGTTTTGTCCCCCTCCTGTGTCCTCATTTCTTCTCATTCTCACTCATTCTCTATCTCTTTCCTTTCTCCCATCTTTCTCTCTCTGTCTATCTTTCTTTTTCTTCTCACCCCTCTATCTCATCTTCCTATCAGTCTCTCTCTCTCTCTCTCTCTCTCTCTGTCTCTCTTTCTTTTTCTTCTCACCCCTCTATCTCATCTTCCTATCAGTCTCTCTCTCTCTCTCTCTCTCTCTCTCTCTCTCTCTTTCTTTTTCTTCTCACCCCTCTATCTCATCTTCCTATCAGTCTCTCTCTCTCTCTCTCTCTCTCTCTCTCTCTCTTTCTTTTTCTTCTCACCCCTCTATCTCATCTTCCTATCAGTCTCTCTCTCTCTCTCTCTCTGTCTCTCTCTCTTTTTCTTCTCACCCCTCTATCTCATCTTCCTATCAGTCTCTCTCTCTCTCTCTCTCTGTCTCTCTCTTTTCCTCCCTCCCCCTTTCTCTCTCTCTGTCTCTCTCTCTCTCACTCTCCCTCCCTTTCTCCCCCTTTCTCTCTCTGTGTCTCTCTTTCACTCTCACCCCCTTCCTCCCCCTTTCTCTCTCTGTGTCTCTCTCACTCTCACCCCCTTCCTCCCCCTTTCTCTCTCTGTGTCTCTCTTTCACTCTCACCCCCTTCCTCCCCCTTTCTCTCTCTGTGTCTCTCTCACTCTCACCCCCTTCCTCCCCCTTTCTCTCTCTGTGTCTCTCTCTCTCACTCTCACCCCTTCCTCCCCCTTTCTCTTTCTCTTTCTCTCTCTTTCTCATGCATTCTCTTACAGGTTTTCAAAGCTGCTCTATACTCGTTTAACATATTTACTTCCCCCTTTCTGGTATTTATCTTTTGTTTATCGTACATGCTGGTTATATGAAGACTATAGAGCAGGTTAGATTTGCTCATTTTAGCATTGTCAGAAAAAAAGTTGTATTATTTGTCAGTGTTACATTTTTATTTTGAGAAACATCAGTGTGAAACCAGTTGAACAACCAAAATAATATTATCAAGGTAACTACTCAGACCACAAATACTATCCTAATATGTTTAATATCACAATGCAAAACCTTGGGTGATGAAAGAAAGTCATATATTTCATGCATTGGTACTGATCTTATACCAAGACTTCAAGACATCAAAGTCAAATCCATAACCATCCCTCATATATCTTACGTAATGCAACTTAGATCACCATAAAGAATGAAGTATGTATGTTTGACCTGTAGGTCACCACTTTTCAAATGGCAGTACTATACAAATGGAACCATAGACCCTTAGACAAGATCCCAATTTCACATCTCTCTGCAGAACTTGAACATTATGTTCAACTTGAACTAATGTGTTCTTTATATGGAGATGGTATTAGGATACATGCATTGATACTGGGCTTGCTAATACAGTCAAACCTGCTTTAGTGACCACCTGTCTACAAAGACCACATTTTGTGTTTCCCTTGAAAATGGTTTCTCATTGAAACATGTACTGTAGGCCAGTGGCGGATCCAGGGGGGGGGGGGGGGGGGGGGGGGCCCGGGCCCCCCCCCCTTGAGAAAAAAATCATGTAAAATCACGTGATTTTTACCTTTTTTGGGGGTTGGGCCCCCCCCCTGGCGCTCAAGGGGGGGGGGGTGCAAATTGAAATTTTTTTGAGGATCAAAAAAAAAAAAATGTGCTCACTACCCCCCCCCCCCCCCCCCACCGAGCGAATTTTCGGCCGGAGCGATTTTCAAATTTTCGGGAGCAAAAAAAAAAAAAGTTGGGCCCCCTCCCCTAAGAAATCCTGGATCCGCGCCTGCTGTAGGCAGCTGTCTACAAAGACAACCTGCCTCTAGAGACCACTTTTCTTGTCTCCCTTTGGTGGCCTTTATAGACAGGTTCACTCTATATCATCACCTTCTAATTGTCCTTCCTCCTTTTTATCTAATCAATTTAGATCACGATGAAGAATGAAGTCGGTATGTTCGATCTTGAAGTCACCACATTTCAAATGGCAGTACTATACGCATGGAACCAAAGACCCCTAGACAAGATCTCACTGGAAAACCTGAGGCTTGCAACAGAATTACCAGATCATGAACTCAGGAGAACGCTTTGGGTAAGTCTAAACTGAATCGATGAGGCACACTTGGGTCAATGAAGAAACAGGGGTTGAATCCCTGCCACAACACCAATGTCCTTTAGCAAGATGTTAATCTACTTTTGCCACACTCCACCCAGGTGGAGTAAATGGGTACCTTGTAGGATTATTCCTTGAAAATGCACTGTGTGCTGATAATGGCTGCTGGAGCAAAAGCTAGGGTAATAATTTCCAAAGCTCTTTGGTAGTGCATAGGGACGTTATTTATGCACTATACAAGAAAGTATATTTTTTGTTGACTTGACAGAGCCTTGTCATGTCTTATTCGATCTCAAGTCTTCTTCCTTTGTAAGAAGAGCAGCTTAATGATTATTATATGGTGATTTATATAGCACTGTCACATGGTATAAAGGTGGAAAAATCAGTTAAATACATAATAATAATAATAATAATGATAATATTGGATTCTTATATAGCGCACGTATCGACCTTGTAAAGGTCCTCAAGGCGCTCCAACATTACCCGGCTATGCTAGGCTGCCGATTTCGACGCTCACAGCATTTTAAGGAATTCCTTCCTACCGTTACCCATTTAACACCTGGGTCTACAAGTGCTTCTTAAATATGTCTAGCTTGACATATGAAAGCTGTGGTCATTTAGTTCTTCATTGAGAGTTGTAATAATTATTTTGAAGGAGACATTTCTGGTTTTCGGAAGCAAAACCAGTATTAAATCCTTATGCAGTGTCATGCACTGTGATATTTGTGCTTCCTTGGGCTTGCTAGAAGTTTGCTTCATTGATTTATTGTTATGGATAATTAGTCCTTGAAACATGACTTACATATCATGATATGTAAATAAAATCTCCATTTTGTATTTTTTTAAAACTGACTGCTAAGAAAGCATGTATATGCTTATAAGTAAGCAACAGGGGACTAATGGCTTTAGTCCTCTTCGAGGGACTTTGTAATGAGGATATATGTCTTACCATGTATAATTTATTGAATATTAGGGAATGGTAGAGAGTGATTACTCAGTGGTTTGAAATGAGTATGAAGAGTTGCTTCAATCGCAATTTCTTTTATTTCTCTTGCAGTCGTTGGTAGCCTTTGCCAAGTTAAAGAGACAAATGGTTCTAATGCAACCAGAGGCAAAGTCACCCAAGGAATTCGTAGATGGAACAGTGTTCTGGGTCAACCAAGATTTTGCTGTCATGTGAGTTTTTGATATCATTTCATATATGAATTTTTAAAACATTTATAGGACAAGTAGTAACATATTTATTTACCTTCATTGTTTAGAGGTGTCGTGGTCGAGAGGAAATTTCTCCTGACTGTGGATTGCATGGTCCACGGTTCGAGTCCCGCCGCGGCACTATTGTCCTTTGGCAAGACATTAATCTACATTTGCCACACTCGACCCAGGTGACGTAAATGGGGAACTGGCAGGAATTAATACCATGAAATGCTAGTGTGCCATAATGGCAGCCCTGCTGGGGTAATAATGTGGAGCGCCCGGAGTGTCAAGTCTGACAGACATGAGCGCTATACAAGAAGCCACTATTATTATTTGTGTTGATTTACTTTATTAATGTTTACCCTTGATGCATCTAATGGCATGTAAGTACAACATCACTACATATGTCCATAAAACGCTTTCATACAACAACCCTTCACTGTGTACTAACCATGGACCACATTAAGATGTTTATCTCATCGATCAAACTAACCATGTATCTTGATAGGGCCACTCTGTATATACATTTACAAAGATATCGGCATTATTTGATTTGAGATGATTTGACTGGTCTTGATGATTTGATAGGGCCTCTGTATATACAAATTTACAAAGATAATAATAATAATGATATTGAATATTCAGGAGCGCTAAAAACAATAAAGTACCATAGCGCATACAAATACAAATATATGAAAAGAGGACAAAAATGTACAGTCTCACAGAAAGTAGATCACATAGAGCATAAATTGATTTGAAATGATTTTACTGTTTTGTATTGCAGTAAGAATGGGAAGCCACAGAAGCGAGGTAAGATCAACCTGATTGGAAGACTTCAGCTATCTACGGAGAGGAGTACTGAAGAGGATAAGGAAGGAATCGTGCAACTCAGGATTCTTAGAACTCAGGTCAGTCAAATTTGTTGTAAACTCTTTCAGTGCCGTCAGTTGCTTAACCTGCCCCTTTTTTTTCTTGTACTTATCATTGTACAAAGAAAAGCTTATTATTCTCTCTAGGATTAAAGCAGTTTCAGTAATTGTGAAATAGGATATTATTTCACAATGTTTGTATTAAAAGTCGCAATTAGAAAGGCACTATGATATAAATCTTACCTTACAAAATTCTATACGTGGTACATATGAGTTGACTTGAAGGCATTTTTATTGATCTGTACAGATTCTCCTGTATTGTAGATATAATTGAAAATGGAGAAAAACAAAACCTAGAGACATCATCTTGTGCTGTTAACAACATTTATTATTTTATTGAAATATTTGTATATTTCTTTTCAATCATTGAACATTTCTACTACTTGTCAGTGAAAAACATTAACTTTTATGTTATGTACATCTGAAATACTCATCCCCTTTTTCCCTCTTTTTCTGTTTATGATTACAGGAGGCAATAGTGAAGATCATGAAGATGAGGAAGAAACTAAACAATGCCCAGCTCCAGACTGAACTGGTAGAGATCCTCAAGAACATGTTCCTTCCGCAGAAGAAGATGATCAAAGAACAGATAGAGTGGCTCATAGAACACAAGTACATGAAGAGAGACGAGGGTGACATCAATACCTTCATATACCTAGCTTAATCACGCCGGTGCGAATGGACTGAATTAGCGGATTGGTGTGAATATACTGGAAATACCTTCATATATCTAGCTTAATCACACCAGTGTGAATGGACTGGATTAGCGGATTGGTGTGAATATACTGGAAATACCTTCATATATCTAGCTTAATCACACCGGTGTGAATGGACTGGATTAGCGGATTGGTGTGAATATACTGAAAATACCTTCATCTATCTAGCTTAATCACGCCAGTGTGAATGGACTGGATTAGCGGATTGGTGTGAATATACTGAAAATACCTTCATCTATCTGGCTTAATCACACCAGTGTGAATGGACTGGATTAGCAGATTGGTGTGAATATACTGAAAATACCTTCATCTATCTAGCTTAATCACACCAGTGTGAATGGACTGGATTAGCAGATTGGTGTGCATATACTGGAAATACCTTCATCTATCTAGCTTAATCACGCCAGCGTAATTGGACTGAATTAGCGGATTGGTGTGAATATACTAGAAAGAGTTACAAGAGATCTGAGGGAGATAAGGAAACAAGAAATGTTTATCGTCAGGGAAATTGAGAAGAGAAAGTTGTGACAAGATGTGCAGATGAATGGAATCGGTGTGCCCTCCAACCTTTGTTTCTGCTGAACCTTAAGAACAATCCTGATGCGGAACACCATCACCATCATCCATCTATCCTAAATAGGACAATTAATCAATTGATGTTAATGTGAATATCCTGGATTTAGATATATATATATATATATTTATTTCCATGAATTTGGAAGTGACCATTCATGAAGCAGATCAAAAGACGAAGCATCGATGAGGTGTGAAGATGGATACAATGAATGTCTGCCCTCAAACCGTCTTTTGTCATCTCGTACTAAAGAACATGATGAAGAAGATAGTGACATCCACAACATCTATCTACATGTAGGGCAGTGTCAACAACCTTACCAGGGACCCATTTCACAGAGCCTATTTTCAAAGACAAATGACAAAAATCAGTGACAAATTTGCTGATAACCAATCAGAAGCAAGAATTTCAGTAGCTTAATATAACAAAAACTGTAATTTGTCACTGATGAGTTTTGTGAAACAGGGCCCTGATGTATTGATGTGAATACACTGGTAAGAGAGTCATATATTTATCTCATTAGGTTGGAAGTGGCTATTCATTTCAGGTTTGCTACAAAAGTAAATTGATAAGAGAAAGGTATAGCGAGATGTGCAGAAGGTAGAATCAATGACCGATTTTAACTGTCATGTTGGGCTCATTCTAAAAACAATCCACAAGAAAGTGGTAAATGTAACTGCAAACTCATCATATATCTAGCCTAATCAATAGACTGACTTTTGTGAATATACTGAACAGAGAAAAATATATTTATCTGTATAAAGTTGGAAGCAATCATTCATTTTGTATTTGCTACATGTTGTGGAGATTTTTGAAAGAAACATAAGGAAAGAGGCAAGGATAAGAAGAGCAGCATTAATCTGCACACTGTACTATTTGATGCAAAAATGATCTGGGGCCCATTTCACAAATTCTTTTTTTCAATGACAAATTAAACAAATTAGGTGACAAATCTGCTGATAACCAATGAGAAGCAAGGATTTTAGTAGCTTTTAACACAAACTGTCACTTGTCACTGATGACAAGTTTTGTGAAATGCCCCCCCCCCCCCCCGATGTTGCAGCATACTTGATGGAAGATTGTTATTGAATATGGATGCCTGTAATTGGAGAGAGGAGATGTAACATGGTCTAGTGGTATGGTCAGCTCTGTGCCGTTGCCTTCCTCCGACAAAGCTCGGTTAAAAACTGAGTTTTGTCTCTTTTATGGTGACATAAAGGTCGGTTCCAACTCCAAAGACGTAAATAATCATACCTGATTGATACATATCTGTAAAAGCTCAATTACAACAGAAAGCAAGCCTCAAAACAACTTCTGTGCTCATATTGTGATGTAGTGCAGTTGTTTCAATGTCCTCAACTGTATATGATTCATAGAACAGTAACAACCCTCCTATCATCATCATCTGTAGTGGATCTGAGAAACGGTTCTGATATTGCATTCTGATTAAATCAAGATGCAATGCAATGTGGTTAAATATGATCTGTGGAATAAATCGCAGTTATCCAAAGATTTGATATTGTATCCATACTGCTGGTCCTTTCGATTGTATGAACCAAGTGACATATAACGGTAATAGTAATTGAATTAGAGCTTCAAAATCTATAATGTATGTTAGAGTCTATTACACTGTATTTCCTCCAGTCACCACAACTCAATTGTATGAAAAGGCATGCCTTTGCTTTTTTATCCTATACATTGCATACCACATCTGATCGCCGAATAGCCTTGCTAGAACTTTCATCAGAAGATATAATTGCAGATTTCCACACAAATCGTGTATCAGTTATCTCATCTGTATGACTTTATTTAGCTATGATTTGTTATGGTTATAATATCAGTAGAGCTTCTGTGCTTTAGGGGAACTTATCTGTGCAATATGCATTACTATTTCTCTTTTTTAAACAAACCTGGTCATTTTTTTCAACCAAAATGTCTGTTTGTCTGCTCCTAATATTTTAGGCTTTTGAAATGTATTTCGTCTATTGAGAGCCAGAAGGGCACTAACTCTGTTTTAAAGTGTTTGGTGTTAAGGCCTTTCTGGCACCAAACAGACATATTTTTTTTCTGTATCTCCGATAAAAAGAAGAATAGCATCATTTCCATCTTTAGAAGTGTTGAATCAAGGCTTATTACCACTTTCAACACTTACTTTGATAACATTGAAACAGATCATGAAGCTTTAAAATGGACAAGTTGTACAATAAATGGAAATTGCTGAAGAGATTCACCCCTATAGGCATCAGTGTGATGAAAGTGGTCCTCTCAATGCAAAGAGCATAATTCATGACACCCACCCCCCCCCCCCTATTCACACACAAACACACACACAACACACACATTTTGTCAGAGGTACATTCATGTAGCGGTACCTAATGTGTTTTCTTTTCTTTCTACAGTCCTCTGTTGTGTCTCCAAAATATAGTTGCAGTCATTTAATACTCCCCAGGGAGTGAGCGTTGACACTATCACGTGTGGATAACCAATTGAATTTATTGACCGAGGTGATAATAACTACAATGTAAAGCACTTAGAAATGTTGTATTAAGTGCTATACAAATAAATGTGACTGTTATTATTATTCTTATTTAAAATAAAAATATGTTGTCATCAGATCATGTTTGAGGGCATTTGTAAAGTACATTATGTAAATTTCAAAGGGTGATCATGATGTACTTGCTTACTCTACAATTACCGTACCAACTGTGTCAAATAGTTTGAACCATGTTTTCCAAAAATAGAAACTGATGCATAGGGCTACCCATGAATCGTTATGTTTGGTACATGCATATTTTCATATAGATATGCAAGACACTTGTATATAAAAAAAGGTTTATATATTATATCGATATACAATTGTGTCATATCATATTATGCTTTCTTGGCCTACTTTCTTTTACAAGCAATCATGAGGAAATTTATGAATGTCTGTCAGCTTAGAATATTTTTTTCTTCAGACTTGATAAATGAAAAAGGCATAATCTGTTCTGTGAGTTGGATTTTCACATTTTGTTTCCTGATGTAAGCATAAATGTACATGTAGCATGTATTCAACTTAAGCCTGCTACCCAATGCCTATAATGCTCATAACGCAGTATTTATGCTGTCAAGATGGGTGACATACCTTTCTGATGCTTAATATACTGGTATCAAATGGAAGTTAGAGCTATCTTTCCCACATCACTTTATTCTCTTGGTGCACACCACTTCTTTTGCGACCATAAACAAACTCTCTGAAACTTCTTTTTTTAAACAGTAATAAGACACTAACTTTGTGTTTCAAATTGATAGAGGACATTAGAGGTGAAGGTTTCCTAAAAGGCTCCTTTAAACGTAACCTACTTTCTTTCACATGTCATTGAATATGTAAAATCAGGGTTGCAAACATCCCCCACCCCCTCACCATGACAACAGCGCAACATAAATAAAGTTCCCCATAAACCTACTACACCTTCACGTACTAACACCAAGTGTGTTCTGACAGTTGGTGAGACAATTAAAATGCCAAGTGTAAGGTTGCTAACAATTAGTCATGAGGATATGGTTGATAATTACTCTTGAGGTACTTACATGAATCAGGGAGAATCTAATGTGAACAACTAAATTATTCATACCCTTACCAAGTTTTGTAACTTAAGTTAGTGTAAAATTGATTTGTCCTGATTTATGTTTCTTTTGAATGTGAGTTATAAAAGCTTACATCTGAAAGTATTGAAGAAAGGCCCTGATTCAACCAGTCCATCTTTTATTCTTGAGTTATGAAAAACACAAAAAGCATCAAATTTACTAGGGATATGAATAATTTAGTTGGTAACGGTATTACTCCTGACGACGGATAGTCGACCTGTTCGAAACGTCGAGCCACTCCCGCCACTCATCCTCTCCAAGCGCTATAGTTCTCCTTAGAACTATAAGCTATGAAAGATAACCAACAGTCTTTTTCAAGACTACACAAACGGTCCTTTTCAGGACTACACACCCCCAAGAAAGATTACCGAGAGTCCTTTTCAGGACTCCTCAATCCTCTCTCTCTCTCTCACACATGGTGCACCTGTAAGCCTACTGTATAAGTATTACTAAAGTTAGCTGATATCAGTTTAATACAGTATATTGTGTTTCACAAAAGTATTCATGGTTATGAATGAGTATAACATGACTGTTATGTGTGAACATGTAATACTTAAGGTACATTAGAATACTTAAAAAGTAAGTACCGGTATGTTGATATAATATACCTGGAGACCCACCAAATTTTCATTCATGATGAATTTATGGATAGTTACTAGAACATGCAAGCTTTAGAGAGTTTTTTTTTTCAAGTGTGTAACATCTTGCAAGTATCTTCCAAGTATTGGTCGGTTTGGGGTCGGTGTAGAGCCGATATGGCGATGTTTAAATCAAAGTAGTTTGCATTAGATACACAATTCGTAGATACAATCTGCGCGCATGCATAGGCTGGATACATGCTCATCAAAGTTGTGTAATTAATTCATTCATGCACTGACTGGATATTCAATGATGCACAGGTAGAATAGTATTCTTCACAAGGGGGTAAACAAGGGGTCAAATAAAGGTTCCTCATGACGAAGCACATCCATGACTTAAGCAGTAATTATTCTAAAATGCACAAAGTTTAGAGTTCTCAATATGTAACGGATCTGTGAACAATTTGGGTTATTTGTACCTTGTGCTAACTACAGACTGGTTTATTGAGTTGCCTGATGGGGGTTCTCAGACTTTGCTCACAACTCTGAAGATATTTCGTTAACTAGTTCATTGAAACAAATGTACTTGTAACCGTCCAATGTTATGTATGTGATTCATAGATCGACGCGATTCGGGGTTAAATTTAGATGGATAATATAAGGTTATGGGACGGCATGCCAGCTTTTGCTCTTCTTTTCATCTAAGTTTATTTTCTCTTTCTCATTACTTTTGTTTTGCATTATTTGATGATAGGTTTGCTAATCGTGGTCTAAATGTGAAGATCATGCAGAGTATTGTACAGTTTATTCACATATTACATGATAATTGATATGAAGAAGAAAATAAAATTGGTTTTTGTAATGATCAAACACAAATGCACACCGCTTGATTGTTATCATTTATAATATGATAGATGTACATGTACACTGTTATGTTATGACAAGTCCACTGCATGTCCTAGTCCAGGGCCCCATTTCACAAAAGTTGTCATCGGTGAAAAATGACAGTTTTTGTTATAAGCTAGTAAAATCATTGCTTGTGATTGGTTATCAGCAGAGTCGTTGAAACGGGTCCCTGGTTCAATCGTTCAATCAGTCGACCAAAGCTAGGCAAGAGTTAATTGCATTTCTTGTAACAGATGTGTTTGACAAAAATTGTTTTGTAGTTTTCTTAAACAAGAATAATTCTTGTTCATATTAATTCTTCCTCAAGTCGGCATAATATTAAACTTTATTTATGTGCATCACATTTGACAGGAGCTGAAAAGGTTTATGAAATTACTGCTTCCTTCGTAGACATTCAGCTCCATTGCATAGGAAACAAATTACATAACAAACACATGTTTATCATAAAAGCAGGGAAATTGCATTTCAAGTACTTCCTGCAAGTCGATTTTTAAATAAAATAATCAATTTGCAATGAACTCGGAGAAAAATATAATGTTGACAATAATTTGACAAAAATTGTCATGTCTATTTTGCAAATCTTGCGAAAAAAGTGCCATCACGGCTTCGTATCATAATTAATATATAAACTGTCCCCATATTAAACATAGTCTTGCAATCAAAATGATGTATGCGATGGATACCAAGCCGTATCTCTCTACTAACGGCCTCGAGTACGATGAACTATATTCAAATCTATGCAAATAAAGAAACAGTAGTTCATGAATTCGTTACCTTTCCTGATATCGTTGCAATGACCCGTACTCGGATAATGAACTCGTGTGCTGCACGCACCCCTGGACGCACCCATTTTTCACACTTCGTAACGAGCAAACATAGAATGATTCGCTTGAACACGAATCAGGGTCATAATCAAGGCGGGGGTAGTCGTCCTAGAGGGTGGTTGCCCTGCCCTAGAGGGTGGATGTCCTAGGGATGGTTATCCTAGGGATGGTTGTCCAGGGGGTAGGTGTCCTAGAACCGAACTGTATATCATATCAATGCAAACAAAGAAACAGTTGTTCATGAATTCGTTACCTTTCCTGATATCATTGCGATGACCCGTACTCGGATAATGAACTCGTGTGCTGCACGCACCCCTGGACGCACCCACTTTTCACACTTCGTAACGAGCAAACATATAATGATACGCTTGAACACGAATCAGGGTCATAACCGATTTGGGAATCACAAAGATTATTCAATTGATCTGTACGAGACTCGTCCACTCCCCCCTTTCCCGCCATTTCTTTTCCTGGAGTATTGACCCTTGCGACAGTTTAATCACCTCCCCTGTTACTTTCTTTCTCTCTCTTTTTTTCTTTTTTAAAACCCCTTTTTCTGTCTCCTTTCTTTTGTTTTATTTCTGTCTCTTCCACTTTTTTTCTTTCTCTATTTCTTTGGTTTGCTTTTCCTTCTCTGCCTTTATCCTTTTATCTCTCTCTCTCTCTCTCTCTGTCTCTTCCTCATTTTCTCCTTTTTCGGTTTTTATATATCTTTCTCTTTCTTTCTCCTTTTCTCTCTTTAAAACAATTGTTTCTCCCTTCCTCTGATAAGGTCATTACATGTGATTTTTTCTTTCTC